AATAAAGAACTGGAGTGCCGATGAGAAGTCAGGCAGAGGAAGAGACGCCTAAAGCAACGGGGAGAGCCGAGCGGCGGGTGCGGGTCCTGGGGAGTCAGGCTACACACACCCGCGTGGCTTCTCTTCAGCTGACACCCACAGAGCGCCCCCTGCGTGCTGAGCCCTTTGGGACTCTGGTACATGCACTGTCCCCCATCCTGCCAAAGAGCCGTGTGGTGACGAACAAGAAGCTTCTCCAATTCTGACCCACAAATAAACAATTCTATTTTAGAGGAATTAGTGAAGCAAATGAAAGGCTGCGGGATCCGTTTAAAATAGCTACAGATTGTCAAGGGCTGTGAGCCAGGCCAAACAACACACCTTCCCACACACCCCAATTGGGCCTGTGATTACTCAAATCCCAGCACCAGCCAGGGGGGCTGTCGGCCAGGAACATCCCTCCAAAGAACACAACTGGAAGGCGCTTTGCCAAAAAAGGGCAGCTTTGACTAAGGCTTAACTGGGGCGGAATGCATGACATTTTTCTTTTATATTTATACATTTATGCTTCATATCATGACTCCCCACTGTTTGGTTTTCCACTTCCTCACCTGGGAGTTTGCTCTTGCAGTTCTGGTAGCAGCTCGGCCTGGCCCAGGGGGCGGGAGAGAGGGATGTGGCTCAGAGACTCCTTTAGGCCGAGCAGCCAAAGCCTCGCCAGACAGAGGCTTAGCTGATAGTAAGGAGGCTGCAGAGACGAACACTCATTCACGCACCAAAGGCTTTAAAATTCTCTCTTTGTGAGTGGAGCATGGCCGGTCCACTCCTGAGCTCCAGTAAAGGGCACAAGGGCAGAGGCTGGACCGTGAGGCATATGAAACAGGAGACAGTGCAGGGCCCTGGGGAGATGTCTCTTCCGCCCCCCTCAGGAAGTCGGGCAGGGCAGGGTGGGCAGGTCCACACACAACTGTGCCTTGAAGGTAGAAGGACAGCAAACAGCAAGGAGGGGCACCTAGTCCAGTCCCGGGTGGGAAGGGCAGAGGTGACGCCACAGGCTAGGCCAGCTCGGCCTGGCGAGGCAGCAGCCGGACTGGCTGCTCTGCTCGGTCTGC